ATTGTTATCTTTCAATTTCTCAATATGTTTGGTGACATATCTGATATAGTTTGGTGATATTATTAGTTTAATAAATCTGTTTGGTTTAAAAGCACCAAAGTAAATTGCCTATATTCAATGAGGAGTAGATAAAAATATTCAAATGGCGTGTACTCAATTATGCTAAGCAATGTATATTGTCACGATCACCAGTTATCTAACCCCTATAAATCACTGAAGAGCATTCATTATCACCCAGACTACAATCCTGTCACCATATGAACTACAAATCCTGTCGTGCACCTCCCTCACACCTGTTCTAGTTCACCTTTGATTACACACACAGCTAGGAGCTGCTCAAGAACTGATTACTCAAACTATATAAACTGCTCAGATTGACACTCGCATTACTGAGTCTTGTTGGTTTATACCCTGTAACATTACGAAGCTCTGTGTTTTGACCGTTGCCTTGTTTTCTTGTTTACATTGTCTGCCACCTCTATTGACCATGTGACCTGACTATGCTTCTGGATTTCCTTGTATATACCCGTTTGCTCCTGTGTCCTGTGTGGAGTTTGCATGTTCTTCCCGTGTTGGCGAGGGATTCCTCTGGGTGCTTTGTTTTCCCCCACAGTCCAAAGACATGCACTATAGGTGAATTGAATAAACTAAATTAGCTATAGTGTATGAGTGAAAGTGCGAATGGGTGTGTATAGGTGTTTCCCAATGCTGGTTTGTGGCTGGAAAGGCATCCGCTGCATAAAACATATGCTGGAATAGTTGGTGGTTCATTCCACTGTGGCGACCCCTGATAAATAAGGGAGTAAGCCGAAGGAAATTGAATGAGATATATAATTAATTATTTTATAGAGTACAACTAATATTAACTGCGGAGTTTGAGTAAGTGTTTTCAAATAGTCCCCATAGCTGTGTATCAAGTAGTTAAATGCATTTGTGTCTGTGTTTTTGCCCGTGGATGATAATGCAATAATTCCCGCTAAGGATCCACCTGGCGCAGTGGCAGATTGTCTGTCATCTGCTTGAGCAGGTGCAGCTGTCACTGCCGCTTATAATGACGGCCCTTTGTGAAGGCCTTTATCTTAAACACACAGGCAGCTTCTGCTATCTGTTGTGTTATGCAATAACAAAGTTGGGGGCGGGGGGGTTCGTTTGACCTTCCTTTCAAAGTGTTTAGCAACTGCTTAACCTTCCGCAGTGTTATGCAAAGACCTTCAATAGTGACTCGCAGGCAAAATCTGCTCAAAGTGTATTTTCATTAAGGACGGTAATAAAGCTAGAAACCGACAGGCAAAGTTTGGATTATTTAAAGGTGACTAAATGTAATAATTGAGCTGCGGAAAAAACAATACAATGAGGTATAAATGTTTCTGTTTGCAGCACAAAACTGTGGAGAAATTGGCAGACATGAAGTCAATAGTCAAAACTATTGAATTAAGTTGAAGTCAAAATCATCAACCCTCCTGTGAATTTTTTTTCAAGTATTTCCCAAATGATGTTTAACAGAGCAAGGAATTTTTCACAGTATTTCCTATAATATTTTTTCTTCTGGAGAAAGCCTTATTTGTTTTATTTCGGCTAGAATAAAAGCAGTTTTAAATTTTTTAAAAACTATTTTAAGGTCAATGTTATTAGCCCTCTTAAGCAATATATTTTGTTTAATTGGCTATACAACGAACTGCCTAATTACCCTAAATTGTGTAATTAAAACGTTAAATTGCACTTCAAGCTAAATACCAGTATCCTAAAAACTATCTGGTCAAATATTATGTGCTGTCATCATGGCAAAGATAAAAGAAATGCACCAATACCATGACAAAAAAATATATATATTCCATACACAATATGAAACGCATGTCTCTGTTTGCACTGGATAAACCTGCACAGAACAAATGCAAATGAGCAGACCGTGTATCTAGCAGTGGATGTTGTTTGAAAGTAAAAATGACTGGTGACTTGGCGTTTATACAATTTGCTGCACTCCAAATAATCAGACTTGTGTAGCTAGAAGCATCTGCTTTCTCTCATTCATTGTCTAATACATGTAATGTGTGCAAAAAGAAAGCTAAGAGAAGTTACAGCTATTTTTCTCTGAAAAATATTTCTAAAGGAGCTTTTTGACTTTTTTTGATTTTCAACAGATGTGGGTACAGGGTATATACAAAAATCAGAGAGTAAAATTCAATACCTTTTAAGACATTTTTAAAGACTCTTGCCATATATTTTAAGACCTCATCCCCACTTTTGTACTTAACTGGCAACATTTTAAATATATTCACTTAATACTGATTGTAAGAAATGAATCTTAAACTAAAACATTATTAATATACTTAATAAAAATGTTAATGCAGAAGGTGTCGCCTATAGAACAGCAGAAACAATGGTGCTGCCTTGGTTACTGCAGTAGCAGTGTGACTTCAAATATAGCTGGATTTTATGGATTTCATAAACTACGCAGCATCCCAAAATTTCATACTTTAGCATACAACTATAATTATACAACGTTATTATCAAAAATGATGAAAATGTAATAATTTGTAACATCATTTAAGACCTTATAAGGGTCTTAAATTTCTCTAAATTTATTTATTTTACTTTTAATACTTTAAGACACCGCGGACACTCTGTGGTAACAACCAAAGACATCAATATGTGCAAAGAAAACAAAACAAAATAGTTTACAAATGAAGTTGTGTAATAAAATGAAATGATACAGGCAAAAAAAGTGAGCTGTAGAAAAGCAGTGAAAGCCCAGGCAGTGCTTCAGTTCAACGTCTACATTAGCAGAATGATGACCAGGGTGGACATTTCAGCAAGACAATGATACAAAACACAGCCAAGGAGACTCTCGAATGCTTTCAGAGAAAGAAAAATTGCAAATGTAGAATGGCCCAGCCAATCACCTGACCTAAATCCAATAGAGAATACAAATTAAAGCTCAGATTTGATAGACGAGACACGCAGAACCATCAAGATTTCTACACTCTGTTGAAGTCTGTAATATAATCACACCTGAGCAATGTCTGTGACTTCATTCTCCATATGAGAGGCGTCTTTAAGCTGCCATCACCAAGCAATTCTTTAATATAGAGTATTAAATAAATTTTAGTAGTTCAGCCCTTTCTCCTTGTGTCATTTCGTTGTTATTACACATCACCCATTTTTTTCAGATTTGTTTTGTTTTATTTTTATGTTTATGTTGTTTGGGTTTTTACCAAAATCTGCTTTAATTTCATGTCAACAGCTCCTTTACAAATATTATTCACTGGAAAAAACATGACTTGTTTAGTACGTATTTTCCCTTCCGTAATTAAGGGTGCTTTCACACCTGCCTTATTTAGTTCGATTTACGGTTCGTTTGGGCAGGTGAGAATGCAGCAATCGTACTCGAGTGCGCACCAAAAGCGGACCAAATAAGCGTACCGAGACCTGCTTGAAGACCTGCTTTTAAACGAACCCTGGAGCGGTTGGTTTGTGATGAGAATATGATTCGTACTAAAACAGGTCCAACCACAAAAAGTACTGCACGTTTTGCACTAATTCAGCTGCCGTAGGCCGATGCGCTGTGCATTATGGGATACGGAGGAAAAATATTTGTTGACAGCGCTTAACCAACAGAGAGAGAGAGAAAGGGAAAAACATTACCTGATGGATCGTTGGTAATATTTCCGCAAGATGATCATGTCGCAGTTTAGCTAAATTAATTCACGTCTCCTCCTGAAGTGACGAGCGATGCATTAAACACTGTTTTCCAGCCGCGGTGGCGCTTCATTTTCGTAATGTATAGTTTGTCTAAAGCAGGGATACAATCAGCCAGCGCAGTCGTCCCTCCAGAGTAAAAGGTTTTGTTTACCTGTGGAAGTTCACTGGCATTTTCCCGCACGTGAATTCTGACCAATCAATAAGCAGTTTAGGAAATATGTTCAACAACATCTGGCCAATGAGAGATGTGGATTTTGTCAGATGACTGCATTTTGGTTCGTTTCAACTGGTTCGAACCAAAGCCAGCAGTGTGGTGTGAAAACGACCCAAAGACGGCAGAAGATGCAACAATGCATCATTTATTACCCTTGGTCCGGACCAAATGAAGCAAACTACAGATGTGAAAGCACCCTAAATGTTAGAGAAACTTCATTTCGTATTTCTATCAAACTTGCTTCATAATAAGTTGGTCAGAATCAGAGCTGTTGCCATTTATTCCCCACATTAATGCGTGACCTGACATTGTCTCGGCTTGACATTTGACGGAGCACATTCAGATCTCACGAGTAGGCCATTAACTCTGCGCCACCGGCAGAATAATCAGTACTTCTTTTAAAACTCTCTCTCTCTCTCTCTCTCTTTCCCTTCAGGCACAAAAATGGCTCTGAAGTTCTTGCGGAAGAAAACCACCAAGCTGAAGAGTTTCCTGCGCGAGTACAGCATCTCTCTCTACCTGTCACCCTGCCATTTCATCATCAACATGTACGGCATCGCCTTCGAGACTGACGAATACTACATTTTCGCTCAGGAGTACGCGCCGGCTGGAGATCTCTTTGACATCATTCCTCCCCAGGTGAGAGAAGTTCAGCTAGTCACGCTGTGCTACTTCATACTTGTTTTTGGCACTGTTTAAGTGCTAAATATAAGCATTAAAATGATTTGGTTGTGTAAAAGTGTGAGATAGTAATGGGCGAGGGCACTGGAGGGATGCCAGTTGGTTTTAGCTTTACTGGTTCATTAGATTTTCAGCTTATTGGTGAGAAACTTTGATAGTTATTTAACAGCATTAGCGAGCTATCTATTAGTAATGGAACAAAGTATTTTAATTTCTGTCATGTATACAGATGTTAATTTCACAGATAAATAATTTATTTAGAAACTTACTGTTAAGACTTTTAAGTTTTGTCTCTAGGGTTTAAAAGGTAACATTTAAGGTGATAATACTTTGTGGTGAGTTGGTCGCAAAATATCAACACGACAACAGAAATACTGCAAAAATAAGTGAATTTATTTACAATAGTGAAAGGAAGTCAAAAAGCAATAAAGTATTACCTAACATAAAATAAATCAATTAATATAGATTAGGGATGGGGGAAACGAGAATAAAGTGGCGCCAAATAAATGAAAGCAATATAACAAAACCCCAAATCTAACTAATATTTACCTTCTAAACTGTCTAATACAAAATAAACAAACAAAACTAAACTACTCTGCTAACCAAAAATACGGAGAAATCTTACAGCGGGTGGCGCTCACTTCTAAACTAGTGTGTTGAAACAGTGGAGTTATCTGCGTGATGCAAAGTGTATGTCACGTGACATCGAAACTTCTCGGATCCAAGGAAGAGGCTGACCCCAGACATATACACATCCAAGACGGTAACAGCGATAAACACAAGAACAAGACCAAAATCAAAACTAAGTTCCCGTCAACATCACAGCACACAACAACAAGCCAACAACACACACAAAATCAAGCAAAGACAGCAAGTAAGTCCGAGCGAAAGCAGAACGAGCTTCCCCGCTCGCGTCCCTTTAGGGCCTACTCACACTATGCCATCCGTACCGTGCCCAGGCCCGTTTCCCGGATGGTTTGAGAAGTGTGAGTGCGCTGAATTGGGCTCAAGCACGGTAGTTTTATGCTAGTTTAGCAACGTAGTTTATTAAAGACGCAAACCCCTCACTGCATGACAGCTGCACCTTCAGCAGACCTCCTCATTCCTGCAGCATGAGAGCTTTATGATTGTTTATGAGCGCCAAAAGTGGCGGATCTGTTCTGCAAAATATCTGACTGCATGTCCCTGCATCCCTAAGGACTGTTAGGCGAAATGTTTGACTGCATATCAAACGACTAAAACGATATAACTAGAGAAATCTCCACTGTGCTGCTGAGTGAGAGAGCGCTTCTCACTGAACAGCGCAGCAGCGATGACGTAAGCGTGCAGAAGCCCCTTTGTGGTGTGAGCGCGGGCCGTCGGGGGAGACGGGAGGGAGGACAAGCGTGCTTTGGCCCGGTTCGAGGCAACTGTACCTAGTGTGAGTACGGCCTTAAACTGTGAGCTCCTATGCTGATTGGTTGTGAAGGTGATGACGTCACAAGGTGGCATTGAGATTGACGTGTTAATGGACCAATGGCATACTGGAATGGGCAAACCTGAGAATTGACAGAGAGAGAGGGAGGGACCAAGCGAGCGAGCGAGAGAGGGAGAGAGAGAGAGCGCACACACACACACACACACACACACACAAGAAAAACAGACAGGCATATACATATGACTGTAACACACCAATAGGATTCCGTTCGTTTTTCATTCACACCTTTAAGTAGGGGTGTAACGATTTATCGTTGTGCGATTTATTGCGATGCAAAAATGTCACAATATGCATCATGGCATTATGACGATTTGATTACGATATGACGTCCGTTTTCTCTCATTAGTTGAGCTGTTTGCACGTGAGCTACGTTCCACCTGCTGTCGCACGTGAGTTCAGATTGCAGCAGCAGTAATGTTAGCAGACCAAGATGAGTGGAGTTGAAATAGAGGATGGCCCATCCTCTAAAAAATCAGACGTCTGGCTACATTTCGGTTGTACAGTCATTGCTTTAGACTCGTTTGCTTTTTGACACGCATACTGGGTCAAACATAGTAAAGTCTTCACAGTGATTTACATACTTTGCACAGCGACATGGATACCTCCTAATTGGTGTTAAAAGAGTCACATACTGTATTTATAAGGTACAATTCACCCTAAAATATCATTCTGTCTTCATATAATGATGTATTGGCGGCCGCAAAATCACACATGACGTGAGCTGACCGTGAGCTGTTACTACAGAGGGCGGACTATGATAGACGCACGCGCGCCACCCTGTCACTTATCATGCCCAACATGAAGACAGCCATCCATAAAAACCTCTCAGACAGATACACATCAGTTCAGGATTATTTTATAGAACTGCTGATTACCTGGAAATGTAGATTTTGTTTTTTTTTTGCACACACAAAAAACGCAAGTCACCAAGCAAAGCCTTAAGCTCTTACTGTTAAATTCAATTCAATTGAATCATTTCAATAATATTTTATAAGAAGTTTTTAAATTGTTTTATTTTCCAGAGACAGGCCTGTTTAATTTATTTTCTTAAAGAAGGTTCAGTTTAACAAGTTGAAACAAAAGAAATACATACAAAATAGTTTACTTGGTAATTTAAAATTTGCATTTCAGTTTAATTTTCAATTTTTATTCCAAATATCGTGATACATATCGAATCGTGAACACTGTATCGTGATACACATTGTATCGTGAGCTGAGTGTATCATTACACCCCTACCTTTAAGTGGACTATATTAGTGGACTTGTGTAGGGAATAGTGTTACATGGGGCAATTCTGGTCCTTGATTAGGTTGTTCTGGTACATTTGATTAGGATGGAGGTTAAAGCCCATTCCCGATGGTAAGGGTACAAAAATAGAATTGGGATTGGGCCTGCAGGACACCAGCCTGCAGACCACTCCATTGTCTGACAACAGAAACAGAAAACTATTTACAGATTTTGTTAAAACACACTATACGAGCTTAAAGAGTAGGAGTGTGAAGACCTGACATTAGACAGGGCGCTAATGCAATGCAGTGATGTGAAAATTAGCAGCTCTAGCAGACTTCAGCTTGTTTCCATTGAGCGTAGTTGGCAACAGTGCTACACACACACACTGAAGTAAACAAGGACTTCATGTTCCTTGCAAAGTTGCTGCATTACAACAAGTCCTGTAAGGTTTTTAGCTGCGGAGGCTTCATATGCTGTTTCTGTGAGAATTATGATCGTAATATTCATTATGTAACCACACCGTAGTTGTCTAATCCCGTACTCTCAACACTCTCTCCTGTGTGTAGGTGGGACTGCCGGAGAACGTTGCCAAGCGCTGCGTACACCAGGTGGCTATTGCACTGGATTACCTGCACTGCAAGAAGCTGGTGCATCGTGACATAAAGCCAGAGAACGTCCTGATCTTTGATAAGGAGTGCCGGAAGGTAAAGCTGTCAGACTTCGGGATGACAAGGCGAGCCGGTTCTCCAGTCAAACGAGTAAGCGGGACCATCCCATACACGGCACCAGAACTCTGTGACCCAGGCCGGCAGGAGGGTTTGTGTGTGGACTACAGCACTGATGTGTGGGCATTTGGCGTGCTTCTGTTCTGCATGCTCACCGGGAATTTCCCCTGGGAGAAAGCGCTGCCCTCGGATGCTTTCTACGAGGAGTTTGTGCGCTGGCAGCAGCGGAGGCGGCGCAGCAGTTCGGTGCCCTCACAATGGCGACGGTTCACTGAAGAGGCGCTCTGTATGTTTCGATGCCTGCTGTCCATCGAGCAGGACCGCCGATGCTCCGTCAAAGAGGTGTTTAGCTACTTTAACCACTGCTGGATGCTTGATACTGAGAACGGCAACACCACCCATATCTCAAGCAGTAACGGCAACAGTGGCACGGTGATGAACGGCCGCCAGGCTGAGCTCAGCTCTTCCTCCTCTGAGGAGGACGATCTGGTAGACCGCTTAAACAAGCAGAGCTTGTCGCCTGTGTGCGGGGTGACCAAAGGAGGCATCATCATGGAGCCAGTGACCACACACTACTCCTCAACATCCACAAACAGCCCTGCTTCCTCCACCGGAGGTTATGAGCGTGTGTCCCGTGACAATAACGGCAACAGTGGGCGCATTCTAGTCACGACACCAATCGAAATATGCGTGTAGAGACATCGCCGACTTTAATCTTGCACATATACACATGGGATGACCAAAACAAGTCAAGTCCTCGTGAAGCAAACACATAGAGGGAAAAGGCGGTAGCTGGTGCACTAGATCATCTCAAGAAGAGCCACTGCTTGAACGTTTTCCTGATGACGAGTACCTCTGAGGGAATGTGTAAGACAATCGCCAAAGATTGTGTCTCAACCACGTTTTCCACGTATATTAAGACCAAAATGAAAGTTTTGTACTCTTTAGAAGAAAGCAGAATGAAAAACTGAAGCAATATGTCGAGGTGAAGAGATTTTTACAAACATTTCACGTGGAGACAGGCGGTTTCTGAAGCACAGTGAGAAACGTGTCGGTATTGTTTTGTGCTTGTGTGTATCCCTGTGGTCAGTGGATATTGGACTTTGGAAGCTTATTGGTTACTTGATAAATGTTGTACTATTCATTTTCAGTCTTCAGTCTTTCTGTTATTTATTTAATATTGTAGCATTACAATGTTTTAATTTGCAGAGAAACTGCACTGTCAAATATCAAATTGCTCACCATTACACCAAAACTGGCAAGAAAGTCACTTGGGGCCATTTACACAACACAATCGTCAACTAAAAACTGAATATTCTCCAGAAAATTGTTCTGACTGTTGTGATAACAGTCTTACTTAATGCCTATGTGTTACTGAAAACTAGAGCACCAAACTCTAAAACAGCAATGGTTGGCTGCTGGACTGTTTCTTCAGAAAGTGACATCACCTCCCTGTTGGCCTGGCAATCACAATGCAGCATTACACCTTGAGCTAATCCTTCCCTTTTCTTTTGTACGTTCATTGTTGTCAAGAAAACATAGACCACTCTAAGTGAAGTTTATTCATAAACTAATTTCGAGAGGAGCACGTGATTATGATTGAACACGGCTGGTTCTGCATTAGCACGCATGATCCACCAATCAGGCCATTCCTAACCCACTATAAAGAGCCAGGGTTTTTTCACTACAGTCATCTTCGATTTGAAGAATCCCCCCTTCCACCCCTACCTCTTCACCTTTGCCTCCATAGGGCAGCACGGTGGCCCAGTGACTAGCACTGTTGCCTCACAGCAAGAACGTCACCGGTTCTAGTCCTTCAACAGGCCGGTGGTCGTTTCTGTGTGTAGTTTGCATGTTCTTCCCGTGCTTGCGTGGGTTTTCCCCGGGTCCTCCGGTTTCCTCCCACATTCCAAAAACATGCACGACAAGTGAATTGATAAATCTAAATTTGCAATTCAGGTAATCTTATAATGCAGCATTTCTTTTATTAGCATTCAAGTTTTAGTCATCAGCTCTTATCAAGGGGGAGTTGTCGAGATCTACCTGAGCTTGAGGCTCCCCTCTCTTCCTCCAAACGGGAGGGAGCCTAGGGCTCAAGTACCTTCGAGCTCAGGGCTCTCTCCCGGGACAGCATGCCAAACTTGCTTATAATCAATCATCAGCTAAGTGTGAACTCTTGAAACTTCAGTTAGATAAGTTTGAATGATAAATGTAAACGCCTGTATCGATGCAGTCCGCATAAATGAGTAATTCCTCCATGTGTAGGAGTGCAGTACTTGGCCACCTTGGTACTGAACAACTGGATAAATCTTTACTTTCACAAACAGTTGTGGCTGTGGTTGTACCGTTAAAGAAAAGAGTGATTCAGGCATACTGGCTCCCGGAAGCACAGTTCAAAATCCATTCAGCCGCTGTGTATTGATATGTTCATACAGTACAGTGCAATGCCACATATTGATGTACATTTCCTCTTTTAGCATTCTGTCTGAGCATCATACATGGGGACATAACAGCACATGTATGTCATTGAGATCTCTTTTTTGACATCCTATAGAAGATCAGTAAGTTTAAGAGTCTTTGCAATGTTATGAAGACATCCTGGCTGATGCTATAAAGACATATTTATAAATGACTTGGCTCTTTTTATGAAAAGTCTGTACATGAAACATGATTCTTAGAGAATGTTAATCTTTCCAGAGGATGTCCTCTATATTGGATGTCTTGATGATGCACATGTGCTTACCGAGTGAAGTTTGAGGCTTTCTCAGGTATACCATTCACTGTGTTACATTGAAAATCAATGTGAAATCCACATTACCCGTTTGTTTTTTTAAATACGCATTCCTGGTTTAATGTTCACATTATATCAAGATGAAATTGGTTATCTTTACAGGATGTTCACCAACATTTCTGCTTCTAATATTATTTTGATCGCAAATCCCACTCAATTCCCAGCAGGCACAGGACGTCAACATGATGTCAGATTGACGTTGTATTGCAACGTCGTGGGCATTTTATTTGGAAATGAAAATCGGGTTAACATCAGGACTCAATGTCAACCTCCAACCTAAAATCAACCAAACATCAACGTCTAATAATGTTACAGTTTGACGTTATCTGGATGTTACAACTATGACGTCTATCAGACGTTGGATTTTGATTGTCATTCCTGACGAATAAATGTCAGTATTTGACGTCAATATGACCTTGGTTTATGACAGGGGGGTTCAAACTCGGTCCTGGAGTGCATATTTTAGTTCCAACCCCAATTAAACATACCTGAACCAGCTATATAATCTCTTTCTAGACTCTCAGAAATAAAGGTACGTGTGCTGTCACTGGGGTGGTACCTTTTAAAAAGGTACAAATTCTTCTATATTAATACGTCAAGGCTATATATTAGTTTCTTTAAAGTACAAAAGTGTTCCTTTTAAAATTTGTACGTATATATACATTCGGGGTACCAATATGGACCCTTTAAGTACAAATGTGTACCTTTTAAAAAGGTACCACCGCAGTGACAGCTTGCGTACCTTTATTTCTGAGAGTGTAGGTATACTAGAAACTTCCAGACAGGTGTGTAGAAGGAAGTTGGAGCTAAACTATGCAGGACACCGGCCCTCCAGTACCAAGTTTGGACACCCCTGGTTTAAGATGTTGGCTTGACATTGGATTTTGGTCACTTTCCAACACAACCTAAAATCAACTAAATATCAACGTCGTTCATAACGTTGTCCTTAGACACTGGCTAGACAGTTTTGGTCACTTGACGTCATGACCTAAATCTTACGTGTGGTTTATTCATAAACTAATTTCGAGAGGATCACGTGCTTATAATCAACACGGCTGGCTCCTTATTAGCTCCGTAATCAGCCCTATTAGATGATTACGGAAGCATTATAAATAACCTGAGTTTGTCACTCCAGTTATCTTCGTCTTGAAGCTCCCCCCTTTCCACCCCTTCATCCTTCCTCCTTTTCTGATTGGGCGACACGGTGGCCCAGTGGCTAGCACTGTTGCCTCACAGCAAGAACACCGCCGGTCCAACCTTTCGGGCCGGTCGGTGTTTCTGTGCGGAGTTTGCATGATCTCCCCGTGTTCGCGTGGGTTTCCCCCAGGTTCCCTGGTTTCCTCCCACCGTCCAAAACATGAACCATAGCCAAATCGACTAAAATAAATTATCACCCAATACAACCTAAGTTCACACTTCTCACAGTGACAAGCAGGGGAGTTTTTCGAGACCTACCTGACCTCGAACTCCCCTCTCGCCCTTCTAACGGGAGGGAGCCCTGGGCTCGAGGATATTACGAGCTCAGGGCTCTCTCCCGGGACAGCATGCCAAATACGCTTTATTGATTATCAGCTAAGTGTGAACTCTTGAACTATTATTTATGTCATATGACCTTGTGTGCCTGTTGGTTACCATCCCCACTTCAATTCCGGTATGTAACATTCAAATTTTGAGTTTAAGTAAACTGACATAATTTCATGTTGTCTTCACCAATCATTTTGTTTCTCAGTTGAGGTATGGAAATATGAAGATGTCTTATGTATGATTTACGTTTCATGACAAATGGAGCAGTGATGTCTAAATTATCTGCTGCTTTGGACCCGAGAATGAAGGTCCAGTTGTAACTCTATTAGATCCTTTTATTTGAGCGATTATTAACTCAAAAAACATTACCAGCTGCTAAACTTGGTATAAGTTGCTTTTAAATTTACTAAAATCGCAACAAAGTGGAGCGTAATTCCTGTTCCACAGTCTTGCGCAAATTAATTTTTCTTTTTTATATTTATACGTTTTATTATGTAATTTGTTCAATTTTGTACTCTCGTTTGAAGAATGGTAGCAAACGTTAATTTGGTGGAATTGTTTTGTTCTTGTATGATTAAAAAAAAAAAGCAAAAAAGGGGGCATTCTGCATGGATATAACAGAAATCTAGAAGAAGAGTTGGTATCTGTGCTACTTTTTAGAACTGTGACAATTATTGTGTAGTCATTTTAATTAGCACACGTTTCCCTAACTGGATACACGTTTTAGTGGAGTCATCAAGGACAATGTGCAAATTGAGAAAATTGTTTTGTCATGGACAAAGCATGGACTTCGCATAGCAAAACGTGGACTTCACATATCAGTGATGGGCAGTACACAACATATTGATTTCTTTAGTGCTGGAAAATGCTCTCAATAATCAATAACTCACAAAGAAGATCGATGTTACACTAAAAGACAGTTCAACCCTGCAAAACCTTCAACCCTTCATACGAGGAAATTATGACAAATCTTTCATGAAAAGGACAAACATTAAAACAGACATTTCATTGTGCTGTCTTATCCAGAAATGTTTGCATGAATCAACACTGCTCTGGAGAAACATTGTAGAAATAAACAACAATGTACTGAGTCGTGTGGCTTTTGTGGCTTTTTTATACCATTGCATTGCACATACACAGCCCCCTATGCAAAACCTTTTCCCTCGTCATGTTTATGATATCATAGGGTAACTTTACGTCTGAACAATGAGAAGGAATCCATCCATCCATATCAATCAGTGGTGTCTAATCCTGCTCTCGGAGGGCCGATGTCCTGCAAAGGTTAGCTCTTAGCCTAAATAAACACAGCTTAATCATATAATCAAGGACTTACCATGCATGCTACGAACTTCTAGACAGCTGTATCAAGACAACTTGGAGCTCCTGATCATTCCAGTCTAGTGATATTGCAATTTTTTCAGCCCCATCACCATTATGCAACTGAAAAAAGTGTTATTTAAGTTCTATCTTGGTCACATATTTAGGATGAATTGTAGCAACATGGAGCAAAATCGTAATTAGCTGAGACCTAGCAGTGGAACCTCAAGACAAGACTCAAAATGGGACTCCAGATGAGAAAATATGTTTACATGTGAAATAGGGATTGTAAAAGGAGACAAATTATAAGAAAAAGAGTGAGGTGGCAGGAAAAAGTCTGGTGAGGTGGCAGGAATGGCGCAAGGGAACAGCAAAGTCTTACAAAATGTTTGCATATAGAAATAAATATTCATTTTGTAAGTTGTGTTTGAAGCAAGGACAGCATGGTGGCACAGTGGGTAGCCCAATCGCCTCACAGCAAGAAGGTCACTGGTTCGAGCCCCGGCTGGGTCAGTTGGCATTTCTGTGTGTTCTCCCCATGTTTGCATGGGTTTCCTCTGGGTGCTCCGGTGTCCCCCACAGTCCAAAGACATGCGGTACAGGTGAATTTAATTAGCTAATTGGCTAATTGGTAGTGTATGAGTGTGATTGTAAAAGTGTGTGGATGTTTCCCAGTGTTAGCCCTGCTGAAAAATCCAGCTTAAACCAGCCTAGGC